TCCTATATGTACCTTAATAGGCTATCCCATAGCGATCCATGCCTGGGTCCTATGGGATGGCCCCGGTTCGACACAGACATACATATCAACAAGGAGTTCTTGCAACAATGATCGCCCAGCTAAAATAGGTGAGAACCTTTTCCGGCGCCTGAATAATAGATATGCGAACCACTCAAGCGATCCCACTCGCCTGTTTTTTACTGTAAAAGAATCAAACATTAGTTCAGGTGATATATTCCCATAATTATATTAAATCTCACCTCGTCCAGTCCAGGCAGCATACAAGTTGTCCCACTGTTGCTGGCCGTAAGGAAATAAAATGGGAGAACGCAGAGGAAAATACGACGAGTGCATATCCAAAATTTCTTCCAGACCTTCATCTTTACGGTGCAGGATAATTTGACGTTCACCAATTATATTGCCTTCACCTTGGACAACGATACCAACTTCATCAACGGTTGGACAGTTGTAGCGCTTAGGATCAGCCCCAGCCAAAGGAACACCTTGTAAGCCTATCGTTTGTGCGTTTGTCTTCGAAAGAACGTCTAAGGCTGTGCGGAAGCGTTTTGCGTAAGGGTTAATTTCTCCCATGAGACGAACCAACATTAGGATTGTTCCTCGTTTCATCGTCGATTTCTTCATATTGTGTCGGCTTCGTCCCAATGCACATGAAAGTGGGTATTCAGCTTCTTCAACGCCATTGTTGCCAACAACATATATTTGTGCAAAGCCGGGCGAGTCATCCTTTGGTTCCAAACTTGAAATTCGATGTGATAATCCGCCTGAGATTTTGAAAATGTTTAGTCCCATGGGCCCCTGGACCGAGTAGTCAACCTTTGCGCCAAGAGATGTGAATGATATTGCATTGTTGTACATTCGTGTCATTTGTTGGAAGTTTACAGCATCTAGTCCAATCATCTTATTAGCTCACGTTAATTAAAATCTAATGAATGCTCACCTTCATCCTTTCCTGTTAACATTTCCCTCATGTTTGATGGATACCTTGGCGCACCCTCATCAAAGTCCGGGAGGTGTACCTTGTTCTTCTGGCAGCAAGTTGAGTAGGATTTCTTTTTTTTGATTTGATCGATGATAGTTGCCTCGTCATTCCAATGCAGCGCTCCACACGAGTCACAAGA